AGTTCGGATTATTGATGTCGCTATACCAAGTGACAGTTGCATTGAGGAAAAACAACAGGAAAAACTCAGCTGTTATCAGGACCTCAAAATCGAATTGCAAAGACTCTGCCAAACACCAGTACAGGTGGTCCCAGTGGTAATCGACACACTGGGTGTCGTGCCAAAAGATCTCAGCCAGCATTTGGAAACAATAAACATAAACAAAATCACAATCTGTCAATTGCAAAAGACCACCTTACTTGGATCTGCACGCATCATTCGAAAATACATCACACAGTCCTATACGCTTGGGAAGTGTTCGACTTTGTGATACGAAATAAAATAATAATAATAATAATAATAATAATAATAATGTAAATATAATAATAATAATAAGGTACACAAAGATTACTCTTTCAGAAGTGTGACAATTATTTCTGTCCCACACTTACAAAAATCATTTTTGAAACTAGTTGTTGGTGTAACAAAATCCTATACTCTACACTGATATCTATAAGTACAAAGTAAATACACAAATGTCCTGTTGCTATAAACTGCAGCAAAAGTATTGATACAATTAATCATGAGAATACTTAATTAATTCGTATAGTACACAAGCATAGGGCACAAATGCGATGGGACTATTTACAATGATGTAACAAACATAATACTCATGTTTGTAGTGTTCCCAGGACTTTTTATCTCATCTTGAACTCACATGGGACTATTTTGGATATGTTAAAGTTTGTCCGCATGACTTTTGGAAGATCGGACTAATTATGTGGAAAACATGATTATTATGTTTGTTACACCATTGCAAATAGTCCCATCGCATTTGTGCCCTATGCTTGTGTACTATACGAATTAATTAAGCATTCTCATGATTAATTGTATTGATACTTTTGCTGAAGTTTATAGCAACAGGACATTTGTGTATTTACTTTGTAACAAAATCCTACTCAGTATTATGGTTTTTCTGAAAAGTGTTAATTGACTTGGGGTTTTTTAAAAAGGAACAAAATGCCGTAAAATCACTTGGTGCCATTAAAAAAATGTTCTAGAAGCATTCTCCCCTGATGTTTCGCCTGAATCAATGGCAGCTATCCTCACAACCTCTGAGGATGCCTGCCATAGATGCAGGCAAAATGTCAGGAGAGAATGCTTCTAGAACATGACCATACAGCCCGAAAAACCTACAACAACCCAAATATAAGTAGCCCTGGGGTGGGGGGGGAGAGGATCTAGGAAGAATATTCTACCAAGGGAAGGGAGAGTGAAGGGAGACACTGACAATCAATGTCCAAGAACTGGGGCTGGGGAGGAGAAGACCACCTGCTCTGGACTTGGCTAAGCAGAAGGACAATGCATTGGCAGAACAAATCTTACATTCATCGTCCAGGATGTCAGGCCAAAGTTTGATTAAAACCAGACGTTTGAAATAGATGGTACTGCAGATTTTGAAAGCATAATAATAATAAAAAAGTACAGGGAAGGAAAAGGATTTTTTTTCCTTTTGTAAGTGGGTGGTAGAATGTTGCATGGTACTGATCCAACTCCAAATTACTAGCAAACGTTACGCCAACAGAGGATTTCTGCATGTTCTGCATTTGCACTTGGAAAAGAATCAGCTTTCATGGAAAGATTTCCCTCCAATAAGCAACAGCATTTTGTTTATGCTGAAAACAATGTTCTTTTCTGCAATAAAAGCAACATTTTAAAATGCCACCAATATATTATAGTTATAATTCATCAATATGAATATCTAGAAATGGGGAAGTGAACTTAGCAAATTCATATATTTTGTGGGTGTTTCCTCCTGAGTTCAGAATAACTCTAGTGCTTTTGTAAGGTAAAAAATATCTTGCCTGTCCCAATATTGAAGCCATCTATCAAAAAGAACGCTGAACCACAATAATTAAATCTCTTGCACTAAATAGTCAATAAAGGTGTCAGATATTAACTCTCAGAGGCATCTAGCTGGAAGATAAAACAGTGTCATAACAGAGCTTTTCCAAGGGAGCATTTGTAAACATGCCTTTTGTAATACAAAAGTTCTCTCCTGTAAATTAGAATTTATGTCTGGAGGGGACGGTCATGGAACTATTTTGGAAAGTTCACGCTTCTGACGCCCATCTCCTTCTCCTGACCCCTCACTGCTTGGCCAAGACATCTGTGTTTCAGCAGGCTTTTGGCCTACTTAACTGGGTTTTTTTTTATTTACTTGCTGTGTTTAAAATGATTTTATTTGCTATGGTCTGTGTCACTGGTTCTATTGCTGGTTTTTATTATCTGTTTTGTGAACTGCTTTAATATGATGCAAACTGCCCTCAGCATCATTGTTACAACAGAAGGCCAGGACAGAAATGTTTTACATAGAAACAAACAAAATGTGTCATTCCACCGAGACTTCTAGAACTGGGATTGTGAAGATCCCTCAAGCAAAAGATCCCACATTTTTACAATCTTATCTATAAACGCTACTGGTTCTGCTGCCTAGCTGCTGAAAGATTCTCATACACTCCAGGTTTGGGTGTAAATCTGAAAAAGAGATTAATCCAGAGATTAACCCAAAAGAAGAACTCTGTACATATTTTCTGCTTCAGTTATGAGGGAACCTGTTCATCAAAAACAGTGGTTCTTAACCTGTGGGCCGCAGACCACCAATGGGCTGAAAGGATGAAAATCTGGTCTGTGGGCCTCCTTCCTCTTTATTTATTTATTTTAATTTATTTTGTTTCCACTCCTTTTGTGCCACCTGCCACACCTTCCCTGTCGCTGACCATGGCATATCTCCTGTATCAGAAACTAGAGCTGATGTGGTATATCCAATGCAATTTTCTGAATCAGCATCCCAAACCGAATCTAAATTTGACCAAAAACTGATTCGTAACCCTTTTGGTACTAATGTTGGACAGAGTTCCCTGGTCAAAATAAGGTTGGAAAGCACTGATCTAAACTAAAAGAACCCACGTTCCACAACAAGATATTATATATATTACAGGCCTTGAAGAGATTTTTGTAAAAATTATCTTTAATTCCTGACATTATGTCCTATATTGATGAGATTTAAAAAGTGGCAAAATAATTGTGAGAGGAGCATGTGCGCTAAAATTATGGCACAAAGGACAAATTGTTCTCAAATTACATCAGATTAAGAGGATCACATAAGAGGGCATTTTGTTGCTATCCCCCCTGAAAGTTAAGTCTAAAATATTTTCCACTGGTAAAGGCAACAGAGGAAAAAAAGATGGGGGGTTATTTAGGAATTTATTCTCCTAGATGGCAGTACAGCTACATTTATTAAGAGTGGTCAACTAGAATACAGAAACTCTGACAACCATCAGCATATTTCCATAAACAGGATCTGTAATACATATTAGATATGTATAAGTCATGTCCCTTTAAAGATTATTCAAATAGAATAATCAAATAGATCTCTGGAAAATCAATTAATGTTCCATCATTGCTGTCTAAAGAAAGGTAAGACAAGAAAGAAAACTTCTCAGAACATCTTTTTTATCACAGTCACCATACTTCAAAAATCTGCACAAGATAAATATTTATGATGGACGCCAAACTATAGGAATTACACTACAAAACTATGGCAGGAATTCTTCTAAAACCGTGTGCTGGTGGTGGCGCAATGGGTGAAACCTTTGTGCCAGCAGGACTGCTGACCAAAAGGTTCAAATCAGGGAGCGAGGTGAACTCCCATCTGTCAGCTCCAGCTTCTCATGAAGGGACATGAGAGAAGCCTCCCACCGGATGGTAAAACATCTATGTGTCCCCTGGGCAATGTCCTTGCAGATGGGCAATTATTGCACACCAGAAGTGGCTTACAGTTTCTCAAGTTGCTCCTGGCACGAAAAAAATGTATAATATTTATTTTAACCTGTTTCTAAACAGGTCAGTGTATGAATCATAATATTAGGGTAAAATACAAAGGGAAAAATTAAGTAAATTCAACTTTGTTACAGTTCAACCTGCCTCATGCCTGTTCCAGGGCCCTCTTTACTTATCATACATCTTATAATATTTTTTTTCTTCTTACAAACTACATTGCACCTGACACAACAATGTTTGCTAGTGCAATGATCTGTAACAGGTTTTCCAAGTACACATTTGACATAAAACAAAAAGTCTATTCCAGGTCAGTCAAAACTCCATGTCTCTGAGCAAATTCCTAGTCTGCATATTCTCTTTTTCTCTCCACTGTAATGATTGTTTAGACTGGAAACATCTCAAAGGTACAATAACTGCAGAGTCTTTTCTTACCTGTCAGTATTTATAATGCAGTGTACATCTCCAGACACCGTATCCTTCTTTCCACAGCACAAAATATGAAAACTTGTTATGAGTAAGATTTATGTAACTGAACCTATTACTCATGAAAACACAAAACTTCCTTAAACTGCTTTAACTGGCCATGTTAATTGCTGATTAATAACACTATCTAACACGATTCTTGTTCCTGGGTTATAAATGTCATTTCCTAATTGGTTCCATCATTAAAATATGGGGAAAGTTTACTGAACTGCAAAAACGTTGGTTTTGTGGGACAACTTGCAACATTTTGCTATAGTTTTCAATGAATATCTCATAAAGACTCTACCAATTCAACATAGTTTGTGGCAGGAACAAAAATGACGTTTCTGGAGTATAACAACTACTTTCAAAGTAAGTACCACACAATTAAACAGGAATAACACTTTCAAACCAGGAACAGAATTTTTTTCAAATGTTGTTAAATAGTGCAATTTATAAAGTTAGATTTCTGACAAACCTAAGCTGGAAAAACAAGATGGATGTAATGTTTTCTTTGGCAGTCTAAATCAGGGTGCTCTTACATAGCTTGTCATCTCTTCCCATGTTTTCTTTAAACATATCTTCAGAGAAAAAAATACTCAAGAAAACAGATTTTGAAATAAGCAATTATATTTTGCGTAGCAGGGCAAAAAATCCTAACTAAACAACTAAGATCCTTCAAGCCAATGCAAACAAATTAAAAGAAAGGCATTTACCCGTGAGCTGGATCCAGGGCTATTGCTCTTGGCTGGTCAAGGTCTTGCCAAAAGAGAACCTTTCTAGATGTTCCGTTGAGATTAGCAACTTCTATCCTGTTCGTTTCAGAGTCTGTCCAATACAATTTTTTACCAATCCAGTCACATGCCAGACCATCTGGGGAAACCAGACCTGAAACGATGACATTCTGCACCAGATTCCCAGTTTGGTTAAAGTAAGTCTGTTTGATGGCTTCTTCGCTCACATCTGTCCAGTAAATAACACTTTGAGAGTACAGGAAGTCAACTGCAGCAGCATCTTCCAAGCCACTGACAACGATTGTTGACTCCGCCTTCACTCCTCCGGCATCCACCAGTCTAACATCTCGTCGGTTAGCAAAAAGCAAGAGCGGAGATGCTGTAGAAGGGGAAAAATATAAAATATTATAAGAATATATTAAAATCTTCACTGTTCCATTAATTCTCAATAAAATCAAGCAGTGATGTCCAACCACCGTAAACCATCCAGGATTTGCCATGTAAGCAAGGAATGTGATGTTTGTTATTCTAAAGATTTTAAACACAACTAAAATATGTCTTCGACTTTTTCAAGCACTCGACAAAAGAAGTTCTAGCCCTTGCACTTTACTACAGTTCTGTGCCTACAGATATGGTGTTCTACTTCATATTGCCCGTCTACTCCTAATCCGTCATTTGGCTTTTGCACTTTATCCATCAGCCCTGTCCTTGTAAGTGATTTGTATCAGCCCATCACCTGAGCTCAGAAATTGTTTACTATATCAGGCCATTTTTTGTTCAATGGTTGTTTTATACTGTTTTCTGATACTGTTTTATGATTTTTATTGTGTTATATTTTAAACTATGTTGATCGGGCTTGTCCCCATGTAAGTCGCCCCAAGTCCCTCCAGGGAGATGGTGGCAAGATGCAAAAATAAAGTTATTATTATTATTATTATTATTATTATTATTATTATTATTATTATCAGTAGTAGTAGTAGTAGTAGTATTCATGTTTTGACAATTCTTCTTTAATGATATCAGCTAAATTCTACAATAAACCTGAAAGCTTATTACATTAATGTATTGAAAATCCATAAGATCATTGGTTCTCCTCTAAATTCATTCCAACATAAAGATATACTTCATCCTTCAATTGTAGAGAAATACTTTTCTTTATATGATCTCACTCAAAAAAGGCCTTCATTTTTTATTTGCCCTCCTGATGATACTAATACATATCTAGTATAGGGACTTCTCTATTACATTCCTAAAGATGGGATGTATCAGAGACCCTATAATTTTTTTCTCAACTCCCGAAAGAAACCTATCAATTTTTCAGTCCTTGAAAGCATTAGAAGGCAGTTATTAGAGAGCTTTACTTTTCTAGTCACTACTTTTAAGTATTGACATGATTCACTGCTAGGACCAGGGCTACCAGGAATCATGGTAAGTTTTGTGGTTGAAGTAGTGAATCAGAAAATAGGGCTCCAGTGTCCACTCAAAAATATGCCCATCACCACTGCTGCATAAGAAAAATGCACCAGGCTTATTGTCCTCACCAAATATAACTTGAGAAGATAGAAGAAAATGAGCTAAATGGGAAGAAAATGTACACATCTGAAATGTAGTGCTGGAGAAGTCTATTGATCCCAGTAAATGAGTCTTAGAGAAAATCTGACTCTTTCTAGAAGTGAGTCTGTTGCATGTTGGACATATCATGAGATGATGTAACTTGTCAGAAAACTTAATACTTGATAAAGTAGAAGACTGTAGGAAAGGAGGGTGGGTGATGGCAACAACTGCTGGAGGTCTCTCATCCATACAATTACTGTAAATTGATGGGAAAGAACAACAACAAATGCACCCCAAAAGACTGAGCTGCAAATAGCCAAATTTCACTTGGGATTTGCCCAGCCAAACAGCTTCTCAGCCTAAACTAACACAGAAATTACTCTGCCAAATTATTTGTCACTTCAAGCCCTCTGCAGCAGTTACACAAGTTCCAGCAACAACTGTTTGAAGCTTTTACTAATCAATTGTTGGCTTCCCTACAAGAAATGTTTAGCTCCAGCTGATATTTTAGACTCCTAAATGCACAGAGACCCAAACACTTGTCAGTCAGCTCCAAGAAGAACATGTAGACTAGGCCAGCACTGACAGATATATTAGTACAGAGTCTTCAATCCAGAATTTCCAGTTCACATACAACAGTAAAAATACCGCAACATCTAAAACAGGTTTCCTTGCAATACCACATTTCAAATTTCTCTTGTCTAGGTTCTGCCACACAGGTTTTATTCCATTCTATATTGCTATATAAATTTATATGTGTGATTCATTAAAACATGTGACAGCAATGTTCCGGATTTGAGCAAGAACTATCCGCTTGCCTCACTTTCAGCCCAATATATTTACTGTATCGGTCACTGTTGGGTGTGTTATATGTACTTTCAAGTCACCTGTTGACTTATGGTGACCCCATGAATTTCACAGGGCTTTCTTAAGCAAGGCATGCTTAGCCAGATGTGGTTTCCCAATTCCATCCTCTGAAATATAATCTAGAGCACCTGGCATCAGTTAGTGTTCTCTCATCCAAAATCTAACCAGGATGAGTCTGCTTAGTTTCCAAGATCAGATAATCTGGTGACTTTATAGTATTTAGGCCTCTATTTGTCACTGTTAGTTTTCTATTTCTTAACTACAACTTCATCCCCATTTGTAAAACTTACTACTTCATAACCCTAGAGCAGTGGTTCTCAACCTGTGGGTCCCCAAGTGTTTTGGCCTACAACTCCCAGAAATCCCAGCCATTTTACTAGCTGCTTGGATTTCTGGGAGTTGAATACCAAAACATCTGAGGACCCACAGGTTGAGAACCACTGCCATAGAGAATGAATCCACATTAAATCTGTTTTGTGCCTCCTGCAGAATTCTGGGGTTTGTAGTTTAGTGAGGCCTTAAAGGCTCCTCCCTAAACTACAAACCCCAGAATTCTGCAGGAGGCAGCAACTGGATTTAACGTGGATTCATTCCCTAGTGTGATGAGGCCCTTGGTCTGGAATGATGCCCATGTTCTATGCCAGCATGGGCGATGGCAGGAAAAGGAGCAGCAGTCGTGAGCTACTGGATGTGAGCCACTGGAGATACAGCCAACAGATTATGTCTATCATTCCTCACTTTGCCTTCTTGGAAAAAGTCCATCTGCTAGCATAGTGCACCAACTCAATTCTGTCATGATTTCCTTAATTCATGTTATGCACTGAATATTCTTACTCCTGCCTCAAAGAACCTATTCACAAAATACAAGAAATATGAGAGTTCACAAAAAAGCCACAAAAAGTTGAGGATTGTGGGATATTTCTTTTAGAATGATTAATAAAATATTACCTTACGTACACTGATTCCTCCTACCACATTATTTCTAAAAAGCTATGTAGCAGGTAAATGTTTATGTAAGACTATGCAGAGCATACTACATAATTGAAATTCCTGGTCTTGTTTTTCTCTTCTCAATTCCTTTTATGGGAACGAAGCCTTTATGTTTGCCTTGCACTATGAAGACTAGAGAAGACAAAATATGTTTTGTCTTAGTAATGCTGATGCTTTCTTCTGTTTTTATTGTGGGTTTTCCCCTGCTTCTCATAAACTGCCACAACCCAAGTAAGTCCCTTATCGTTCAGGTGTTTCTTATGCATTTGAAAGAAAAAAATTAAATGTAGATTAATTTTCTATTTATTATCTGAATAAACCACAGTTTTATAGTTTATAAAGTAGGATAAAAGGAGGAGGAGGAAGTAGCAGAAGTGCTGAGTAGTGTTTATGTATTTTAATAGGTTTTAAATTATTTTAATTGCTACAATTATTTATTTTAATAGTCCTTTGGTTTAATTCAATTTTGATATTTATATGTTTTAGGTCTTAAATGGGACATTTTTTTTTTAGCACTGTTAGCTGCTCTGAGTTTCTTTTAAGAGAAAAAGCGAGATAACAACCACCATGTTAGACTACACAGAGAAGCCACTGAAACCCACAAGCATGTGGATAATTTCAATAGAAAGGACGAAACCATGAAAATGAACAAAATCTGGCTACCAGTATTTTTTTTAAATACTCCAGAATCAAGACAGTAAATAAAGAACACCACTCAAAAAACAGGGGAATTCCAAGGAGTAACTATCAGGGCCAGTTAACGTCTTCCAACAAAGGATGCCTCCAGGCAGAAAGCAGCCAGGCTTTGAAGCTGCAAGACTATTCAATGCTAATCAAGGCGGCCAATTGCAACATTCACATTTACCTCCAACAAACAAGAGTTCTTTCTCCCACCTGGACATTCCACAGATATATAAACCTCACTTGCCTAGTTCCCAACAGACCTCACAACCTCTGAGGGTGTCTGCCATAGATGTGGGCAAAATGTCAGGAGAAAATGCTTCTGGAACATGGTCATACAGCCCGGAAAACTCACATCAACCCAACAACAACATAGTTTAAGATATCAAACATGATAATTTTATTCCAGACCAAGTTACACATTCTGCATTTTAGATTCCCTAACTAACAAAGTGACTCTGGAAAAAGTGCTAATATTGTATTTTCCCATTTTTTTCCAATTTTCTATTTTTTTCCTGAAAAAAACTGACAAAATGTTCTTCCCCTCCATAGTTTCAAAATTCCTGGAAGTTTTGTATCTCTAAATGTAACTAATTTGTCTTTCACAAGAGGGGTGCCGACCACCTCACACAGAATTCCCATCACTCTACAGCTCTCTTCACCTGGTACATGTTTACTCAAAAGTTCAACGAAGTATGCAGAGATTTTCTTAAGAAAATAAACACAACTGTTTTACTGCTTTACCATACATATTTTGCCATACCAGAAAAATATATTTTGCTGACATTCCATACCTGTCCTTGTTCAACATGCTCACTAAGACTGAAAAAACACTGCCCACATGTTCTTTTCTGCAAGAGAAATGTTTTGGTAGCAAACAAAACCTACAAAGAAAACATCTGAGCTTTTTCAGAGAAAGGTTTCCCTTGCAGCAAAAGCCCAGCCTTGAGGTACAACATCTAACTTAATGGCCACTGCCTAATCAGTGGTTAACACCTCTCAAATGTCTTTGACAGACAGATGTCTGGCTGGAGAGAAGGGACACGGGGCCATGGCAGGAATGTACTTCAAGGAGGAGAGAAATCGCCAGTCAAAATGAATCCACACTCACTCTCTTTGGAAAATGAAGCTGAGACCTAGAATAGCATGGAAACCTGTGTGTTGCCCAAAGAAAAATAGCAATACTAAATTGCATACTATTATACCTTGGGAGTAATCATGACAGCATGCTAAAACCTATTACTTGACGATTCAGATCATATCTACATTTGCAAAGAGATCCAAACC